GCACAAGCACTCACAACCATTTCCAGGGAGCTGCTATAGAACAGGCTAATTCCAAGCATTTACTGGTTAATTTTATTACATTTTACAAGTGTTTGCTAAATTTACTTACCTTTTTTTTCTTCCCTTAAGGAAGGTGAGTTAGCTTTGCTGAATTTTGAGAGGAGACATCTGCTAACACTGAGATAAAGTCTTCTCTGGGACATGGGTGTACTACCCACAACATGAAAGTGAAAGCTGTACGAGAAAGACACCTTTTCTGTTTGAGCAGGACATTTAGCACAATCCTTACGGTATGTAACAGCATGTAGAAAGACACCAAAAGCTTAAGTATTTTCTCCTGTAACAAAGCTGAATTACTCAACTCCCTAATGTTCCATTTTAAAGTAAATATTTAATTAAAAAAAAAGCCTTAAAACTTTTTAAACCATTGATGCTGTGACAGTGCAAACAGCATACAATTTATTGCTCAACTTCTGCATGAGTACATACATTAAGTACTTAAAAACCATTTTATACAGATTTTGTTGTTGTTGTTAAAGCTCATGTAACAGCTGGGTGAAAATACAATGATATCAATGCTAAAACACTCTGTAATAAATACAATGGAAATGATAAACTAAACTGTCAGTTGGTGGAGGAGCAATTACACTTGCATAAACTAATTACAACTACAGACAAAGCTCTAAGGATGTGGTAGAGCTAGAAACCTACTCAATAGTGTAAATTACAACAAATGGCACCTGTTAACTATATGGTGCAGTTTAAAATCTGAAGCAATTGGAGCATGCTACATTAAGCTGTATAATGCATACTTATGATATAGAAGCAAAGCTTTTACTTCCATCAATGCAGCCAGTTTAAACGCACCAGAAGTTTAATACAGATGTAGTGTTGTAAAACAAGAACTTAAAAACAGGTTGTGTGCTCTGGACTTTAGTACAACACAAAAATTTGGTAAAAATAAATCAGTTTAGGGAAACTGAAACTATGTGCAAAAAAAAAAATTAGAATACATACTGTACAAAGCACCATTACAAAACTCTTTACACCGAGAAATTAAATCCTCTGAAACTCAACTGTGTACTGTATATTTGAAATCTACAAAAGTCACTGTTCATAATTAAACATTCATAATGAAAAGCAACAGCATAAAACCATGATGTGACATCTTTCTAAAACAACTAAAGACTGGATAAAGTAAAATCCAGTACGAGGGATATGTTGAAATAAATATTCACATTAATCATGGGGTGAAAGTCCAAGGTTAAAATGCAATATTAGGCTTAGCACCTTTCTGAGGGGAAAGTAGCTGACATGATCTTGAAATAAAATTTTGCAAAGGAATTAACCCTTTAACATTTTTTGATAAAATGTCTGACTCGATGATGAGGTGCTTCAGTTAAAGCTCTCTGTTATTAGAAAGGCACTCAGGATATTTGATATATTCATCCTCATCTGTCAGCTATGGCTACTCAAATGTAGATTTGTCTAGTTTTGCCTATCATATATTAAATTTACAATATTTATCTTGTGGCAGTTTAAAAAATTCTCTATGCCATACCAAAACATTTGATAGCAGTACATCTGTTCTAAGGCTGCTGTGAAAATGAACAGTATTTATCAGTTCATCTCTACTGTTTTCTGCAAATCTCACCTCTTCCCTCTTCAAGGCTGGCCATAACTACGTATTCAATAAATCTACCAGCTTAAGTAAACTGACAGGGAAAAGGTTCCTGGGAGGTGCGTACAGATGTCAGGGTCAGGAGACGCTACAATGACAGTCTTTAAAGAGCGCTGAGGGTGGCTGCCTGGCGCAGAGAGAACAGCATACCTTCCCTCTGGAATCACCTAACTGAGCCCCGACTTCTCCCAAAAGCTGGATCAAACCGGATTTTACTGAGAAAAGGTGCTTTCACAATCAGGAAGGCTGAAAAAGCCTTGCAGCTATAGCCTGAGCAAGAGCAGAACAAAATCACTTGCACAACACCGGGGCTTTCTATCCTGCAAACAGTGGTCAAAAGAACCCAGTCTCTGTAATGAGCAATTCATGTCATACCTCCAAACTTGAAGGGGTGAGAAGAGGTCTTTGGGAGTGTCTAAAGCAGTGGTCCCAAACCACAGGCAGCAGTACTGAGTAAGAAACACTGGGCAACATCCTACTTTGCTCTCCCAGACAATCTGGGCAAACGTAGTGATAGCTTCTCTGGTAACAATATTACCTGAAAGCCATGGATTACAGACCCCAACGGTAGAAGCAAAGGTACCAGCCATTTTAAGTGAGTGCAACAGTCCCTTGAAATAAAGAAAAAAGGGTCTGATGTATTTCAAGGCCTGGCTGTCAAAGTAAGGTTCTTGGCTTTATGGTGATATCCCTATGTAGCCTCACCTCTGCAGCCAGCCCAGAGTGGGAAGCAAGTCTCTTAGAACAAGCCTTCCAGCAACAGCTGTACAAAAAAAAATTAAATCAAATGAACATGTGGATTTGGCTTACCCGATTCTTACCACAAATCTACAAAAGTAGTTCATTGCCCACTATTCTAATACACAACATCCAGTAGTAGTTTACTCATTGTGGCAGTCAGATTTGGCAGAACAAAATTTAAGTTCAAGCTCCATAGAACGGACAGAAAATCAGCTAGCTCACTGTGTAACTTACACTGCAAACTGGAACAGCTGTTTATATCCCATTCTTTTAGTTATTTCAAGACTCTTGACTTTCTTCTCATTGGCAGTGTAAAAATAGTGCAGGTTTGATGATAAACTGTGACCTAAGTTAAAAAATACAGCACTGATTTGGAAAAAAAGAGCTATCTATTCCAAATATTCTCAACTCTGAGGAGAATGCCATTGTCCATTAGTAGACTGATACACACCATGAGCAGATCATACAGATCTTAACTGAGAATTCCCAAACTTACTTCAAAATTCAGTTCCCTCTACTGGTAGTGCATTTTAATCCCATTTGAATAGATCAACCCATGTTATAATTCATATATATACTTAATTCCATCCCTACAATCAATAAATTATGTGCTTTTAAAACCTCATTTTCAAAGCACATCACATGTATTTCAGCTCATACAACTTTTTCAGTTTTATCACCATTTTTCCTTAGCTGTAACTTAAACCCCCATGTCATGAGCAGCTAGACAAAGTTTAAAACATATTTTACCTGATAAGTCTTTAACATCAACATATATATAACGTGGTTTGGCTGCATTCAAACAAACTTTGGTTGACCGGACAGGATGGGTTCTGAAATGAACTGCTGACAGGCTTCTGCTGTCAAATACCACCTCATCAGCATGCTTAAAAACTTGAAAAATGCAGTGTTTAAATTTTCAGTCAAAAGCAACAAAAAATACTCTTGACAAATTTGTTACAAAATGCTGTTTAAAAAAAAAAAAAAGTCTACCATTCATTAAAAAAAGGTCTATCCCACATGTTAACACAAGTACTGTACCAAATACAGTACGTGCCACTCAGACTACAAATTTTGTTTTAAGGAATCTGACAAGTGATATAAATAGGACCCAAAAACATCATATTTGTAATTCATGCTTGAAAAATATAAAAAGCTGCCCCCTGTGGTAATATTTACGTTGAATTTACATTGCAGAATATAATGTCTT